CTCCGAAGCATGAAACCCTCATATTCTGCGCAACCAGGAACGAAGGGTCCGCCTTTGTGCAGTTGGTGTGATGTGGGTAACGGAGCGCTTCGTGGCGCCGTGGCAAGTAATATAACTATGCCTATATAGGACTGACCATTTGTCCCAGGGTGCGAGCAGATCTTATGAATATATTTCAGGGAAAAAGGGCTCAAAAAGTTCGGTGTGAACCAGCTTCATCGAACAGATCGATGGCGCCAACGCAAACACAGTCATGAGAGTCGTCCAAAACTCTACACACAGTGCAACGGGGCTACCGGTACAGATCAAATCAAGTTGTACGTGTCGGGGATGCAATGCTCCGTCATAGATTTGAGTATATCATCAAACAAGATGCCAAGAAGGTACGATACTACGTTCATCAGCTACGTCGACGAGGTAGCTATTTTCTGTTCATTCTGCTTTTGGCCTGACGGATGCAGTCTTTAATAAAAAGACGGGATCGTTCATGATGTTGGCAACATGTGTGCACTTGAGGTGAGGCTACGTCAATTTAGTGTGGAGTTAAATGAAGTAGGGCTGCACAGTACCTACCCGGTACCTTGGCGAGACAAGGCCTGCGGCAAACCGAGTCCGGATGAGTCGTATACCGGTGGAGGGAGGATTTAAAACCGCCCCTCGCTTCCAGGCCAGACGTTTCCTACCGAATATGGAGAGTCGAGTCGCAGACCCGTAGCTACATCCCGAGCAATCCATGCAGTCTTCCGAGGCCCCACAGCCAGCAGCACGACGATTTGCTGTCACTACGGTACGAATGAAGGCACCGAGATGTTCCTTGATGGCGGAGCTTTGGTACAGGGGCCGATGCCAACGAGCCAGTCTGTCCTGTAGCACACAATGTATGTATTAGGAAAGAGTACGGAATCGAATCGAATCGAATCATGAAGTAATTCTACGATAATCGCATTCATATCCGTGCTCCGTTGCCTGGGGGGCTACGTTTGTGGGCTTCTACTTTCGTTGGGAACTTTTTTTGCTCTATTCCAACCACGGCTTGACAATGTCCATGGATTTCTTCCACAATGCTTCCGCCAGGGCATCATTGGATGCGTCCTCCGATACGTTTGTCACGACGAATCCTTCCTCCGGCGTGGCCCCCTTGGACTTGTCCGCCGCACAATAGTAGGATCCATTTGGGATATCGGGATGGGTCGCCATGGTGACTAGCCTGGCCCCGGCGACCTCCACGGGAATGGAGAATCCTATAACGCTGGCCAAGAGTGTCAATGCTTTCGCCTTCCACCACGATTCCTGCCGCAGAGATTCAAAGAGTCCCGTGGTGGGGACAAATCCTGGATTGAAGCAACAGGTGGTGAGGGTTTTGGGGAATAATTCTCCGGTGGCGGCTTGTCGGCACATGAGTATATTGCACAATTTGGAATCCTTGTAGACTTTGGCACCAGAGTATTCTGTGGATCCATCGACCATGGTGGGTCCCTGAGGATTTTGTTTCAGATTGACACCCAATCCACTCAAATCCCCCAATGTGGCCGTCTTGCCTCCGGATTGTCCTGCTCTCAGAGAAGGATCGTGGACAGACGATGCCGTGAGGACCAATCGAGGATTCTCTGCAGATGCCATCAGCTTGTCTAGAAGCAAGTGTGCCAGCAAAAAGTGTCCCAAATGATTCACACCAATGGTCGGCTCGTATCCTTGTTGTGTCAAAAAGGGAGGCTCCTGGATGCTAGTGGAAGGAGACATGCCGGCATTGAGACACACCACATCCAACCGATGCACTCGCGTTTGGACATCTTGCGCAAACGCCTTGACGGAGTCAAAGTCCGAGAGATTGCACGCCTTGAGGGCGACACCACCGCCAGCTTGTTCCGCGGCGTGTTGGGCTCGAGCGTCGGATCGACAGGCATGATACACCGTGTGGCCCTCGGCAATCAACTGCTTGGCGGCAGCCAATCCAACGCCTTGGGAGCTACCAGTGATGAGAATGTGCAAGCAGCGTCGTTGCTGATCGTCCTTAGTAGCCTCCAAACTCATGTTGCATGGATTACCCACAACAAGATCTTCTATTCCGAAAATAAAAGATGGGGCACCAGAGTGCAGAACAATAAGTCAGCCGTGATCGACGAGGGTCTGAAAAGATCCAAAAAGCAGCGAACGTCTTGCTGACTTTGCAGAAAAGGGCTTAATCAAACTGACAGCACCCTAAATCACACGAAGCTGTCGGACCGATTAGTCATGTTTACTATAGCAAATACAGTACTATACTACCTCTGTACCGTGCAAGTACAAATCCTACACGGCTGTAGAAAGCCTACGTGCAACGTACATACGTAGTGCACGTAGGCTTTATACACGGCTGTAGAAAGCCTACGTGCAATAGGTATGTAGCCCTCTACACGTTTGCACGTAGAGGCGCACGACTGACGTCATTCGAATGACGTCATCTATCGAGTCGCGGCACACCCAGGTTTAAGATAACCAGTTTTGCTTACCACCCTGGTTTTAAGATACTTCGAAAGGGTACGTACCTGTTACATAATCCCCTCTGGAGTGCATTTGACTGGTGACTTTTACGGGTACCACAACTCAAAACATGTGCAACTAGATGCCTTTGTCCAGACTAGCTTAACCCTCCTCCTTCTCCCCTCTGGAGCCCCTTCAACTAATCACTTTTACGGGTACCACAACTCAAAACATGTGCAACTAGATGCTCTTTCCCAGACTAGCTTAACCCTCCTCCTTCTCCCCTCTGGAGCCCCTTCAACTAATCACTTTTACGGGTACCACCGTACGAAGAAGGAGGAGCGATTAGTCATGTTTACTATACAAATTACAGTACTATACTACCTCTGTACCGTGCGGTACATATCCTACACGGCTACCGCACGGCTACGGCACGATACGTACGTACATGTCGTAGGACGTGCCGTAGAAACGCGCAAGGTGCGCGCGCATCGAATCGCACCACACCTATTTTTAAGATAACGCAATTTTAATTGATACCCTTGTTTTAAGATACTTCGAAAAGGTACGTACCGCACATACATGTTTAACCATACCTACATGTACTTGTACATAATCCCGTCTGGAGTGCATTTGACTGGTGACTTTTACGGGTACCACAACTCAAAGAAACATGTGCAACTAGATGCCTTTGTCCAGACTAGCTTAACCCTCCTCCTTCTCCCCTCTGGAGCCCTTCAACTAATCACTTTTAACCGGGTACGGCCCACGAAGACAGAGGACCGATTAGTCATGTTTACTATACAAATTACAGTACTATACTACCTTGTACGTGCGGTACAAATCCTAAACGGCTACCGCACGGCTACGGCACGATACGTACGTACATGCGTAGGGTGCCGTAGAAACGCGCAAGGTGCGCGCGCAACGAATTGCACCACACCTATTTTTAAGATAACAATTTTTTAACCCTTGTTTTAAGATACTTGAAAGTACTACTCTGTTTCCTACTACATGTACTTGTACATAAATCCCTCTGGAGTGCATTGACTGGTGACTTTTACGGGTACCAAACTCAAAGAAACATGTGCAACTAGATGCCTTTGTCCAGACTAGCTAACCTCCTCCTTCTCCCCTCTGGAGCCCTTCAACTAATCACTTTTACGGTACCACAACTCAAAAAAACATGTGCAACTAGATGCCTTTGTCCAGATAGCTTAACCCTCCTCCTTCTCCCTTGGGAGCCTCAACTAATCACTTTTACGTTACCACAACTCAAAGAAACATGTGCAACTAGATGCCTTTGTCCAGACTAGCTTAACCTCCTCCTTCTCCCTCTGGAGCCCCTTCAACTAATCACTTTTACGGGTACCACAACTCAAAGAAACATGTGCAACTAGATGCCTTGTCCAGACTAGCTTAACCCTCCCTCCTTCTCCCCTCTGGAGCCCCTTCAACTAATCACTTTTACGGGTACCACAACTCAAAGAAACATGTGCAACTAGATGCCTTTGTCCAGACTAGCTTAACCCTCCTCCTTCTCCCCTCTGGAGCCCCTTCAACTAATCACTTTTACTGGTACCTAACCACGAAGAAGGAGGACCGATTAGTCATGTTTACTATAGAAAATACAGTACTATACTACCTCTGTACCATGTGGTACAGATCCTACACGGCTACGACACACATACCACACGCTCCGTACGTACCGTGTGGTAGGCGATTCTACACACCTACCACAGGCTACATACGGAGCGTGTGGTACAAAGTCTACACGAACACGACTGACGTCAGTCGCGCGCATCGCGCGCACGACTCACGGCACACCTATTGTTAAGATAATGCATGTTTAATTTTAACCCTTGTTTTAAGATACTTCGAAAGGGTACGAATCGTACATACATGTACAACCGTACATACATGTACTTGTACACAATCCCCTCTGGAGTGCATTTGACTGGTTACTTTTACGGGTACCGCAACTCAAAACATGTGCAACTAGATGCCTTTGTCCAGACTAGCTTAACCCTCCTCCTTCTCCCCTCTGGAGCCCCTTCAACTAATCACTTTTACGGGTACCTACCCACCAAGGCGAAAAACCATACAGTGTAGAAAGCCAGATACTATTAATAAAAGGATGTACCACGGGGGATACTGTATTCCTTGGTTTTAAGAAACCAAATAACACGAAAAGAGCACGAAAACAACAACAAAACCACCATCAACCTAATGCTTCCAGCTTGCATCGCCAAATGGACACACAATAACTCTGTTTTGCTCCTACATGTAATAGACTATCTTGTACAGTGCACTTGGGGGCATGTGATGCTCCAAAAAGAAACATAAAAGGGGCTAATCCATACTAGCTAGCTATCGCCAAAGTTAACAGCCTGGTTGCGCTTCCACCGGTTTTGAGATAACATCTTCAGTTGACGATTGTGGAGACGCATCAACACATTTTATGTTTCTTTCACGTCACACAAACAGACCTACTCCTCCTCTACAAGGCGTACTATAACACTCTATGCAAACTCGCAACAGGTGTCGAGCACGAATTGGTTGAAGGCAGCATCTCCAAAGGAAGGTTTTGTTGTTGTTGTCGTGCTATTCTCGTGTTGTTTTCGAAGCATGACTGAAACTGGCCCTTACCCCGTGGGACATCCTTAATGGCAGAAACGCAATCTTGAGCTGTACGTGGCTGAATTACCCACTTCACAGTCAACCCGCCCTTCAGGGACTGGACTAAAGCACACCGGCCCCACTCCTTTGTACTCAATTTGCATAGATGATAGCACAGCACAGCGTTATACTCCTTTCCTTTAGGGCATGTTGTCTTGTTGCTTGGGTTTCCACATGACAGACCCACTCCTCCGTTCACACCAAATAATAATAGTTTGTGACATGCTCCGTGGGAGTCGCCAAGCCGACTCATCTTGAGCTTTTCCAGTCACAGAAACGAGGCAATGAAAGTGGGAGTGACGCGTGGAGTCGCAATCAGGGTGTGGTACTCACACTGTTTTAGCATGTGAGTACATGTACTGAGTAGTACTCACAATCATGGAGGTCATGTGAGTTCATGTACTGGGTAGTACTCACAATTTCTGGGGTCAAGTGAGTACAGGTACTATGTGAGTACAGTGCAATACACGGCTCTTAGCCTTATTCGCGACTCGATCCTAGATAGGGTTTGAGTTCGACTCATGACTGAGTCTCTCGTGAATAGTCATTTGAGACAGGGTTCTCAATGACCGCTCTAGTCATACTAGGTTGACGATGAAACATCGCTCTAGATATTTAGTGCAATACACGGCTCTTAGCCTTATTCGCGACTCGATCCTAGATAGGGTTTGAGTTCGACTCATGACGTAGTCCTTCGCGAATAGTCATTGAGACAGGGTTCTCATGACTGCTAGTCATACTAGGTTGTCGATGCAACATCGCTCTAGATATTTAGCCAGCGTGGAAAGCTTCCACGCTACTAGACAGCTACTAGCTGAAGTTTCCACGTGTTCCGGAAATGGACCGTGGAGTACGTAGAGTTATTATCATAATCTATGATATCACACTTCGAGGCCTCCCGCGGAAAACCAACTTCAATGAGCTTCACAACGATCTCTCTCATGGATTAGTTTTCGTAGCTTTCTAATCTCTCTCATAACTTTCATTCTCTCAAACTCAAAACACTCGAAAGATCTTTACACTAGCTTTTAGCGTAGTGCATTTTGTTAACAAACACAATAGCTTTCAGCTACCCTCAACCTATTCCTTCACCATGAAGATTGCTCAAGGAAAGCATGCGTTCACCAACTTCGAGAAACAGTTGCGTGACAAACTCATTCTTCCTCTCGTGGACAACGACGAAGACGCCGAGATCGACGATTCTCGTGCAACCACCTACAAACTTCGCACCGTTCCTGCAGATGCAAATAGTGCCAAGTACACCTTCAAGGTAGCCATCATCAATGGTTCCAACACTCCACGTCAGACCATCAAGTGGGCTACGAATATGGAGAAGGTCTTCGTTGGACTCAACATTGCTAGTCCCGACGACAAACATCGCCTTCTCAAGGAGATGACTTCCAGCTCTGCGAAGAGTGCCTACGAAGCTGAGTGTGCAGGCCATCGTGCCGTGCGTCACAACGCCCTACGACAAATTGCTGTAAACGCAGTTGCTCCATGCGACGTGACTTCTGGAGAAACCGAAGTCCAATTCCAAGCTCGTGTTCAAGCCGCATGGGACGGTGCAGCGGAACCCGCTCTAAGCGATGCTTTCGAGAGCCTTGTAAGACAGGCTGCTTCGATAACCGCGTTGATTCCAAAGGT